ACCACCAGCCATTTGATGTGCCCTTGCCCCTTGATAACGAGGAACTCAAGGTTGTTGATCAATTCACTTACCTTGGCAGCTGCATCAGCAGCGATGGGCCCATAACCACTTAAGTCAGTTCACATATTGCGAAAGCAAGAGCTGCGACACATGTGGCTTCCTGAGGGGTTTTTCTTTTGAAAAGCGGTGTTTATAAGGTCACAGGGAGGTCCCTCCTAATCCATGGTAGGAAAACATGGCTCTTTCGGTGAGATGATCTGAGGCGCCCTCTAGTCTTTGGTCATCGCTGCTTGTGAGGTATTGCTTGTGTCGCCAGGGTGTCTGCAATGATTATGTGCATAGGCAAGTGCTTGACGATGGTAATCAGATTAGTTCCTTAGAACACCCCTAGCCCTAGAGGTAACAGGCTTCTCACGTACTTTTGCGGCGTGGGTTCAAATCCTCGTAGGGGTGGGCGTCCTCGCGGTATACCCAGCCCGCTTTTGACTGGTGATGGTCGCATGGCAGCGAAGCGCCGTTACGGCGTACAGCATACACACTAAATAAGTTGCATTGGCTTGGGAACGTGCAACCTATTGTTTTGTTTGCCAAATGTAAGATGGCGCAAGGCTTAAGGTGGTCAAAATTTAACTTGGCAACCTAAAATAAAGTCACTGGCTCCAAAATTAGGTAGTGTTTGTCCGTCTCGCCTTCCAGGCTAGAGTCCACACGACTCGCCTTGTGTATGGCTCGTAGTTGACACCAGTGGCGCGTCTGTTGTCGTCTCGTAGTCAGATTTTCCGTTTAAACTGGGGTTGGTGTTGAATTATCTTCTTGGTACTGGCTGATTATTACGCGGGCCAGTGAAATCCGCATGCGATTGTCTCGCCATCGCTGTCTTTTTTTACACGATACGTGAAACACACTGTCTCCCTTACCAACTTGGTCAACGCAAACAAAAGATAAAAGTTGCGGTATGTTACCATTTCGATTTTTTCTTCATTCACATGAATATTACCTTTGGGAAATAAAGTGACGTATGTACATGTGTCGTATGAGAAGGAACATCGAGATCGCCTGTCGTTTTTAGACATACTCATCAATAGGCTAGCTGGAGTTACACTTTAACGCACTCTCCGCCGTAAATCAACCTGGTGTTGACAACACGCATTTCACTAGCTTCGCCCCAGTTGCATACAAACGCACTCTCGTCAGAACTCTTATTTACAGTACCATGAGTATTCGCGGTCCAGAGATGGTACAGAATGAATAGGATTTCTTATATCGAATTCTTGTCAAACAGGTATCCAGGGAAATTTACCCAGTTTTACAGTAGACCCACTAAAGATGAGTTAGTACAAGCGGTTAAGAAAAAGGATGTTTTTTTCCTACCCTTCAGAGGAGAGCATGCTTCAGATGAAATTGGTCACAAACTTAGGTCTGCTATAATGCAAACTGGTACCATCACACGCCTACGAATCATCCACACCACACGGAAACTTGAGCTCAACTACCGTCCGAACAGTTTGTCAGTTGGTTTGGCCTCGTGTTTAGCCAGTTTATCTGCATCTGCCGGGACATCTATACAAGCAGGACCGACCGGCGACTGGCTGAAAAGTTATCTGAGCACTTCCTAAAGTGTTTAAGGCAAACCCTGGTACAACGTGGAGATGTAAATCAAATAGCGAGTCGGAACCCCACCTTATGGTGACTGGCCCTTACGTGGATTCATCGAAGACTATTGAATTACCGAAGCTCGAATATGCTAGCAATCAGTGAGGCTTTATTGATTGCGGTCAACTAGCCAGTTTTGTGCACCCGAAAGCAACCGAAACATAATCTTATTGCCTTAGTCTTGGTCGTGCAACTTTAGTTCACCCGTGTGTTCTTGTTCCGCATTTGCATACGTTACTTCATTTCCCAAATATCTTGCCTATGTGGCTGCAAAGAGCAATCGCAACATTAACAGATCGCAGATTTTGTCTTCTTTGCACGATAGACGGCTGTTTGTGACCATGTGGTGTTAACAAGGTGTAGATACCTTGGCCTTGAATATTTGCTTGGGCCATTCAGTTTTTACCTTAGGTTACCCTTATATCCCGCTTATTATTCTTCTCCTTAGTTCACTGTAGTTGTTCGGCAATGGAACATCAGTTAAACTGATGATGAATTAGCCTGTGCTTGAACCGTTTGTCTGATTGTTGCCACATTGATTTAATTTATAGGCTGAATGCATGCTACGCTTGTTCCATCATTAAAGTGTATATATGACTTCCAGTATCATTTGTATTATATTGTTTTTTATGCACGTACGTCTGCAAAATGTGGCATTTCAACTGTAGCCTTACTGTAGACTACCGATCTTGTCTTCAGGTTGCGGATTTGGGGCCTTCTTTATGTTGATAACTGTGAATAAGTCTCATGTGCTTCGCATCAGGATAAATAAGCAGTCACAGATAATTCGGCAGCAGTACTAGTAGGCTGGTGAGTTTCGACTTACCAAGCGTCCTCCTTGTAAAAATCCGCGTGTCCTACACGAAAGCACTGTGGCGTAACATATATGACTCACCATTAGGTAACTTCACCGTTTCCGTGTTCCTTGGATACGTTGAGTACCTGCATATTACCGGACAGTTACATTCAAATCAACTACTCATTAGCGTAATTGATTTTCTCTTAAACGTCAGAAATGTTTGATCCCTGGCATGCCGTACAGCCGTCCTAATAACGTGTGAAATGATAACAGTTATCAGCTCCAAACGGACGCAATTCCCTCTTCCTGCGCTGCTTCCTGGTGGGCTGCGTCTTCTTGCTTGAAAATTCGGGTGGTGGCTACCTATAATAACTCCCTATTTCTGCCAAGGCAATCGCTTAGAATCTCTTTATATGTAAATTGTGATGCTTTATCTACTACTACAACGTTTAATCTGCCCATCGCAATGAAACTAAACCTTAATGTGGTGCAATGATCTGCGTGCCTCAACGATCTATTGAGCTGGGGCCTTTTGCACTTTCCGTGCCATTCATACCAGATTGGTCGATAGTCTGATGCCAGACAAATTCATTCTCGTGGTCCTCCAAGGGAATATGAATCCAGAAAGCTCTATTTTTCATCCCTGTCTACTATGCTCGATTCAGCAGACATGTTGCTGTCGATTATTCTCTGCGACGGAAATAGCACCAAGAAATTGTTGAACGACAGAGTCATTGTATTCTATTACGTTGACAGGATACTGTCAAGTTGCCTAGGCCTAGACATGAGTGCGCTTAGGATTCTCAACCAAAGCATTGGCCCAAAAACCTGACCGCAAGACAGCGGGTTTGGCAGTGAGCTACAATGAATATGTTTTATGGAATAAAGAGACCTTCCTTCAACCCCTAATCTGGAAGAGCAGAAGACTGAGTTTATCTACCATCTAGCCAATGACCAATCTGGTATGAGTGACTCTGATGATGCTAGAAACCCGACCCAGCATAGCTCAATAGACCGCAAACCATCGCACCACGATGAGGCCCATCGGGATCAGGCAGCCCTAAAGGTTCTCCTATTCACTGCTTCGCAGAACATATTTCAGGTTATCGGGATTCAGTTTGCGCACTCTGACAGACTAAACAGCAAACGCGTCTTTCGCCGCCTGTCTGATATTCGACCCTGGGATAAAAACATAGTCCATCAGTTATCGTCATTTCTTCGTGTATATAATCGTTTCCACTCCTCTACTCTGTGACGCTGAGTCTATTGTATTTGGGCAAACTGGTATTGGGATCCGTCCTTGATGCTAGAACCATATCTTGAAGACGCCTCACAAGAGCGCGACCTTGGGGTGTTGATGCAAGATGAACTCAGCTGTTCGGCGCTGTCCTTAAAGCCGTCCCAAACCGCGGAGGGCGTTCGGGCGGTTTGACCCCTCCATCTATCCTCAGATTACCAATGCGTATGTAGGGCCCCATGTGGAGTACGCGATTCAGACCTGGCAATCTTCGTTTAAGCGCGATCTGGCTGCACAGGAGACCTTACAACGTAGGGCAACCAACATGTGAAAAAGTCGCTCCACTGCCTTACCAATTTCAACTGAAAACTAGGGCTATACAACGGAAGTTATCGCTGTCTACGAGGCGACCTCATTCTTGGGTACCAAATCTAAGAAAACCCTGGTAACGCTTGCCATAACCTAAAACTCAACCGCAACACTAAAATGAGACTTCACCAGCTGACATTGGTTACGCACTACAATCGGCTTTAATGCCACCGGAATTATTTTTCTCTTCAAATTCTACAACCGTGAAACGCTGCCTAGACTTTTGTCATTTCTGCACCCACGTTACCCATTAAAAAACGATTCGACAATGCTTTACACCATTTGCACTATTAGATTTGGTTTCCGTTCATTGAGTGACCACAAGAGGCAGCAAAGATTGTGCTCACCAACTTCCAAGAATTAAGGTAAACGAATACACATAAGTGTTTACGTGGATAATACAGTGAGTCCTCAAATGCGCGTTTCGATCAAGCGTAACAATCAGTCCCACGGGATTTGTCAAGCTTTGACTTTTTTATCCGTTTTTATGCCATTGTTTCATTGTCACCATCCCTGAGTGAATTTCAAAGTTTGCTTTGACGCTGTGGTGCTCGATGGCTTTTTTAAAAGTTTATATCTTATTTTCATTCCTTGAGATAGGGATAAATTCTGTGTATGCATTCCTCTCAATATGTTAGACACATTTGCTTGATCCTTAAAAACAGATTTATGCTGTCAGTTTTTGGTAGCTCATAAGTTTGTGACTGCTGCTTAGTCACGGTCGACTCGATTCTAAACGTATTCGATCCACATGATTTCGAAAGGATGTCGCTTTACAATTTGTTTTCTTTTCTGCTTATGGTCTTTACTATGACTCAGCCTTGAACGAGACAAACACTTCTCCTCTCGCATCCACCTGGGTCTGTGGAACACACACGTGGAATCAGCACGAAACATTTCAAATTTATGTGTTTTCCTCCCCACTTTTGTGTTTTCATTTAGTTCTCGCCTGAGTTGGCAATTCAACTCAGCGGACAAACTGGTCAAGCTGCCTTATCAAATTGTCGTAAGGCGGAATTTCTGCGGCTTCCTGTCACTGCTCATGTTATCCGCTCTCGTACTCCAAGCATATTCCTAACTGGTCATTTGAAGATTCAAGTAAGTCTACTCTGGTTTGATACCGTGCACTCTTTTTATCTCAGCGTATTTTCGGCATCTGATTAAACGCTAAAACTCGATAATCCCCTTAACTGTAGCTCCATTTGACCTATTTACATGTGACTGCCCGCCTGTTAAATATCTCGTTCAGCATTTACCAGCTATTTTTAGACGCTTGAATGTCTCTATTTTTCATCAAATTACGAGCCAACTTTCAGTGTTTCACATAATGGCTAGTGAAATGATGTCCATGGGCATCCTATAAATAGCTTGTTCCAAGATCGAATTGCATAACGTACTACTTTATAACAAATGACCGCGCAGTCGCTTGCGGTAGCACAAGTTAGAGCTCATAACTCTATAAGTCAGCTGGAAGCACTCCGCGATATACGTCTTCAGTGTGGATAAAGTAGTTGGCTTAAACAATTTGAAGCACTACACTTAAATGTAAACCAAATGTTTCTAGATTCTCTCCATTTTTTCCAAAGACTACCGAGCCACCGCCGCCTAACCAGCTCGAGATAAGAAAGTAAAAGTGGCATTAGCATTAAACCAGTACTGCATACCGATTCTTTGCTGCCGCGCAGCTGCACACTGTGCGCCGGCTGGGACACTGTAGGAGCGCCTAAATACATTCAGTCACAGGGACTCGCACCCTAAAATGTCGAAAGCCATGCGCCCTACCACTATGTGGGGGCATTGCCATGGCAGAGTGAATGGATGGATTCAAAAAAACGAACCGGACAGCCAATGAAATACTAACTTCATGTATTGAGCATTGAACGCAGTAGGCGTAGTCGTCCGTCAACATGGTTCCGCTCGTTGGCTAATGTTCGTATGCCATACGGTGACTTGTAGTTTAGTTAACTAGATCAAAAGATGAACCACAACGGCCCAGCAACTTCTTTGTTTATGGACGTGCACGAACAGTATATCTCGGGGCGTTATGCGGGCCAAGTATGCTATACTATTCGCTCAGCTGCTTTTTCTGAACAAACTGATTGTCTCTGAAGGATGGGATTTTCGACACGCGACGCTGCGGATCGCGCCGAACTGGTGCTACTGATGTTTCGGATGTATCTTGTTCCGTAACTCCTTCGAAATATCACTATTTCCTCTTTTCGTTTCACTTTGCTACACCTGGATTCCTGCGACATACCTGCCTGGAAGCGTGGAAGTCCTGGGGACTGACCTTTTCGTCCACCGGATCTGTGGTTTCATCTTTCACTTCAACTTCGAATCGTTAACTTTGCTTGACATAAATGCCACTTACTCCCACCGGACGCGTTCACAACCCTAAATAGTTAGTTTCAGTAACTAAAGTGCAATAGTGTACGCTGATACTCGGTACCGACGCTTCGCTTCCACGTGAACACAACCAGTAGCTCGGGATGTGGATGTGGGTTTTGCACTGCTCTCCGGGCTGTATGGTTCTTTTGTAGACGTTTCGCTTCCAGACGTGGCAACGTCATCAGTGCGGCTTCAAGGTCCTGTTTCGCAGGGCCTCGTAAGCGACTTCGCTATGTAAGTGCATATTGAGCTAGTTCTGCTTTGGATACCCGGCTTCAATCAACTCACGTGCCTACCGGCTTGTGGCTCTTCCGAAGATTTTGACGTTCTCCATGTCGAACTGCTAACTTTCGGCATCCATATGCACAGACATCAAAGAGTTCTTATCATGACGGCGAATGGCTGTTACCGGAGCCCGTCCATAGCAGCCATCGAAGCTAGCTCTCTCTGTCTGTAGATGCCCGAAGAAGATTGGTTGTATGCCGCCTGTAGCCGATTGGCTAACCAATGGGAGTAAGCCAATAGCATCGTTTTACCTTGAGGTGGACCAGTCAAAATGACCTACCTTGAAGCCCTACAGTAAGCACACTGCTTGCTCAGCCAACAAGCGTTTTGCGCATCTAGTAGTTGCTATAGTCAAGAACTTTCAGTTAGGTGTTTTCTTTCATGAACTATTTATTTTGACCCAATATTTTGGCTGCACCTTCTGTCTTCCGAGTGCTCCATACAAGTTCCGCCAGAGGCCTTTGTTTCCTGGTTTGGAAAGTGGCTGTATCGTGACCACAGTGGCTGCATTGGTTATCCGTACTGTCAGCGGAAACAAGCTTTTGGCGACGCGAGCAGAGTTATTCAAGATGTCAATCTCGGCAGAAGATCTAAAAGCTATTTTGCCTCAACAGCAGCAGCAATTCGACGCGGCACAGCTGCGTATGATCGAGACCTTCACTCGGACACTATCGTTCCAGTCTACATCAGTCCACACTAATGAGAAACCTTCAGTTGATGCAGTAATCAACAGTGTCTTTGCGTTTGTTTTTGATCCCGCTTCAGGCTTGACTTTCGATGCATGGTTCAGACGTTGCGGAGATATTTTAAAGACGGAGCTGGCAAATTTTGTTGATGCGTCAAAGTACGGCTGCTGCTACGTCAACTCGGAATCGGAGCACGACAGGTACATCACTTACATTTTGCCAAAAAGTACTCAAGATTACAGCTTTGATGAAACAATTTCCCGACTTACGGAGACGTTCGGCGATCAAGTATCGCTTTTCCATAATCGGTACAATTGCCTGAAGCTGTGCAAGAGGGACAGCGATAGTCTCATTGCCCATGCAGCAACAATAAAGAGAAAGTGCGAGAAGTCCAACCTGAAATCACTTACTGAAGACCAACTTGAGTGTTTGCTACTGGTATGCAGTTTGCAATCTCCCAAGGATGCCGAGATCCGAACCAGAATACTCGGGTTGTTGGAGCGAGACCCGGATGTCATACTGCAAGCTGTCATTGCAGAGGCCCAACGAATCATCAATTTACAACACGATACAGCTATGGTCGATGACACGAAAGCGCATTCCAATGATTTCGCAGTTCAGCAGATTTCGCGAAACAAGTTTCCGGCCACGTAAGAAGACCCCTCCAGGTAATCCACCATCAGCATGTTGGCAATGCGGCGACTGGCATTTTGTTAGTTGGTGTCCATTCAACAAGCATGTCTGCCCGAAATGTCGTAAACGTGGGCACAGAGAAACTCGTTGCAGATCCAAGCCATTTTTCAAACCGGTTCTTGATGCACGACAAAAAACCTACGGTGGTTTCCTGAGGAGAGTGAATGCCAGTTTTACTGACGATGTTAAAGATCGTAGAAAGTACATTAACATCAACATCAATGGAAGACAGGCGCGTTTGCAGATCGATACAGCCTCAAACATTGCGGTCATATCAGAAGGGCTGTGGAGAATTGTTGGGTCACCAGAAATCAAACCTCCCAGTCAGCTGGCGAAAAGTGCATCAGGCCCCGAGTTGGAATTGATTGGTCAAGTCGATTGTGAATTTCGTTATGCTGACGTTACTGCATGGGGAACGATTTTCTTCACGAGCCACCAGAATTTGAATCTTTTGGGTCTGGACTGGATCGAGCGTTTCATTCTACTTGATGTTTCGATCAATCAGATTTGTGCAAGTGTGCAGATACACAAGACAACATCTTCTAAAACTCTAGCTATCGAGCGCCTACATGAGATATGCAACGGTTTTTCGGGAAGGCCTCGGTAAGTGCACTAAAGTACAAACCACTATCCCTTAGGCCCGATGCTATTCCAGTGTTTCGTACGAGACGCCCTGTGCCTTACGCGGCAACACGAACGGTTGACCAGGACCTGCATCGCTTAGAGAGAGCAGGGGTTATCCACCCGGTGAACTACCGCCTTGGGCGGCACACACTGTGATGGCCAAAAAGCCAAACGATCAAATTCGAATCTGCGCCGATTTCTCGACAGGTCTAAATGCTGCATTGAACGCCCACCAGTACACTTTACCGCTCCCAGATCACTTGTTCACGAAATTGAATGGTGGTAAATATTTCACAAAGCTGTGTCTCTCTAATGCATACCTGCAGATCGAGGTACATGAGGCTTCACGAGGATTACTCACCATCAATACGCATCGAGGCTTGTACCAGTATCGCCGTCTCGCGTTTGGAGTCAAGTCTGCACCAGCCATTTTAGAACAGATCATGGACACAACGCTGTCGATGGAGCAGCCGCATACCTGGACAACATCATTGTTGTCTGAGGCAGTGCTGATAACCTATTCGAAAAGTTGGATCGGGTTCTTGGCCGTGTTGAGGAATATGGATTCAAACTCCGACCTGAAAAGTGTACCTTCTTCATAGACTCGATTACGTTTCTCGGCTATATAATCGACAAGAACGGCAGGTGTCCAGATTCAGCGAACATCGAGGCAATCAAGAAGATGCTGACACCCAAAGATGTTGCAACACTAAGGTCCTTCCTAGGACTCATAAACCATTACAGCCCGTTCCCACCACACATGCATCGCTTGCGTTGTCCACTCACTGACCCGCTGGTCAAGGATACGCACTGAAACTGGTCCGAAAAATGCCAAAGCTCATTCGACGAGGTAAAAAGCCTACTACTTTCCGACCTGCTAACACATTACGATCCAACTTTGGAGATTGTGATGGCCGCAGACGCCTCGAACTATGGTATTGGCGCAGTTATAGCCCACAAGATCGCAGGTGGTTCAGAAAAGGCAATTGTACATGCAGCCCGGTCGCTGTCTGCCGCAGAGCGCGATTATGGCCAGAAAGAGAAAGAAGCCTTGGCGATAGTCTTCGCTGTTAAGTAATTTCACAAAATGCTGTATGGAAGGAAGTTTACACTTCTTACTAACTATAAGCCGCTGTTGGCAGTTTTCGGATCAAAGTCGGGCGTCCCTGTCTTTACGGCAAACAAGTTGCAGCGGTGAGCTACTACGACTTTACGGTAAAGCACATTTCTACAAAGGACATTGATCAAGCTCATGCACTTACCCGGTTAATGGAAAGCCAGCAAGCAGCGCCAATAGAAAGAATCTATCGTTGCAGCAATCTCTCTGGAATCGGAAGTGAATTAAGTGTACTTGGAAAAGCTCAGAGCACTTACGGTAACTTTTGAAATGACGCATCAATGCGGGATCTTGTCCTACAACAA